GTATTTCAACCCAAAACCTATACTATTCAGTTACGAAATCGTCTACCTCATGCGAGCCTAAGTCTACGATTTCTCCCCTTTCAGTTCTAAAAGTCGCTAATTAGACTAGAATGTGTTTAATCAACTAATCATAGAGAATGAACAAAACCAAACTCAACAACTCAATATCCAATTGTTACCAATTACAAGATCGAAGTGTCACCCTTCGATTATATCAAACTATCAAACTCAATTTCATCAATTATGAATTAAATCAACTCACATAAGAACGAACAATTCAAGCCTGACAAAATACAATTCAAACAAGAACAATCATCCCCTATCCCTAGCAAATGGAATTAGCTACGAAAATCAAATTCAACACAATCAATAATCTCTTTCAATTAACCATTATTCGCGAATTAAAAATAAAGAGAAGAACTTACAATAAATCGCAATTCCAAGAGTTGAATTTGAATTACAAGCTTAATCCTTGAAAATAATGAAAAGAAGAAGAAAAATGGAAAAGAAGGATTAAAAGAAGAGAAAAAATGATGGAGAAGAAGAAGGAGAAGAGAGGAAATGTTGTGTTTTCTCGGGACCTAGGGCTTTCACCCGGTCGATAGACCTTTTTTTTTTTTGGGTTGGGAATGAGTCCCCATATATAAGGATCAAAAAATTGAGCAAAAACAGGTCGAAAAATAAGTCGGGACGCATAGGTGCCGCGGCGCGAGGGCTGCCGCACCGCAGCGGGTGTCCTAGGCGTGGTCTCTGTCCAGGTCGCGGCATTGGACGCGGCGTTGGGCGCGCCGCGGCGCCTTGGTGCAGGCTGCTATGCACGACTTTACGATTTTGGCTCGTTTGAGCTCGTCTGAACTTGGAATTGAGTTTCTTTTTTTCCTATGTGTAGCCAACGAACTCTTCTATTCGAATATGCTTGCCCCACCAATATTTTCCTGAAATAATATTTCCCCAAAGCTTCTGAACTACACACCAAAAACGTGCTTCGCGTGACTTCGTATTTTGGGTTCATTTGTGCTCGTTTGGACTCTGAATTTGGTTCTATTTTCTCATGTGTGATGCCAACAAAACGCTCTATATAATTACGCTTGCATGGTTAATATGTGCCTAAAATCTGTTCCTCTCGAGGCTTTCGACCTACACACAAAAAACGAAAGAAAACCGAAAAAACACACGAAAAAACACGAAGAAAACCAAAATAGAGAGAAACACGCAATAAACGACAAAATAGACTAAACACTAATGAAAGTACCTAAAACGGGGGAAAAAGAAAAGAAAAATATCACTGAAAAATGCAACAAAAATGGGACAAACATTTGGCTTTCAGATATTGACAATTCCATTTTGATTTGACAATCATGTTTTAGTCAAAGTATTTATGTTTGCAGTTTATTTATTTATGCCAGCATAACTTCTTTATTTTACATTGTAGATAGTATGGTTCGTCGTGTCGAACAGTAAAATCATACTATCGGTTCCTTGTAAAATATAAACCATTTCTTCACAGTGTAGACAGACAGTGAGACCCCTATTGGAAAAAGACTGTAGTATAATTCTTGATTTAGTTGATCTTTGACTGATGGATTAAACAAGTACTTATGATAAGTATTGAACTGACCGCAAAATGATAAAATTATAAGATTTACCGATCGTAGTTATAATCTAGATTATCAGTAATTGATACGTACTCTTAAGATGTAAGATAATATAAAACGGGCATATATATTCATCACTTGTTTATTTGATTTACCGATGGTGGTTCGTATTATGTTAGGATGACATATTCGGTACTTTGGTAAATAAGGGTGTTTATGTGATGTGCTGTTACAAATTATTTAAGGTCACTATGTCCCAGTGCGTTGGGTTGATGACGTCCCCAAAATGAGTTCAAGAAGGAATATTATGTTAAACCCTGAAGGTGGATAATTATCCGACATAATGATTAATGAACTGGGTGATACTAGTTTCAGAATGAATACAAAATCGATTTAATTTTATTGCCAGTAATTAAATTAATCAACAGATGTTATATCTTAAACATATGGAGATAAATCGATCAATTGGATTAATTTTTATTAATCATTTAGAGGTTCGAATTTATTAAATAAATTGGAGCTGGGGAGAGCGATATTATTACTCTAATGGGATGTCTTACTATTTAACTCTATTTAGGAATTAGGAATTAATTATATTCCATAATTTAGATTCCATTACGAAAGAAATATTCCTTCTAGAATATTACTTATGGTTAGAAGAGTATGAAGTCTTCTAGAAGATAATTAGAGTTAGGAGGAATAGGACTCCTAGATGGGAAAGGATATAGAAAATAAATAAAATTCATAAGACCTAATGGGATAAATCCATGCTTAGCACATCCTTAAGGTCCTTAATGTAGCCTATAAATATACAATGTCCAAAGTCTTCCCCTACACATGTTTGGTCGATTTTGAGGTCTTCCCAAAGAGAGAAAATGTGGAAATGTAAGCCTTACAGAATTTGGTAGGATCTTTACCCATGAAATCTTCATAAGCGTCTGGATCTTCATCATACTTCAAATCTTCCAAATATATGTTGTAGTCCCCCAAGTGAGTGACGAGCACAATCTTCCAAAAAATAGTTTTTAGTGTGAGCCCTTTGAAACTCTTCTTCCAATTCATATATACATGTCTTGCATAGTTTTGTGCTCAGCATGTGGGGCTAAATCTCTCAATGCATTCAGAAGACCCTGCAAAAGGAGAAAAAAAATTGAAAATATACAAATTCATATATGACTATATGAGTAAGTGGAAAAATTCATTTATGAATAAATCACAAAATTTATATATGTTAGAGACATAACTTACTTTTTGTTGGTCTGACATGAAAGTATATCAAAGACCATCATTAATTTCCAGATTAGTAAACAAAATACTTAGAAACCACCTCCAACATTTCTCATTTTCTGTCACAACAACTACCTAAGCCACAGGGTATATTTGATTGTTTCAATCTTTTGTTGTGGCACACAAAAGTCTTCAAGAAACACCTATCAAATCCTAAAATGGGCCTACAGCCACTAATGAAATCCTTCATCAGTGCACTAAATCCCACATAGAAACCTCTGATGTTGTTTCTTCACCAAGAAGAAACTCAGACCTTCCATCTCTGTCTATGTCAACAACTCTGACATGTAACTTCTCAGAGAAGCATAATGGCCAACTACTGAACATCTAAGCATCTCAAGAGCTCTCCACTTTCCTCTATAAAGCTTTTACTTTGTAGATTGTGCTGCAAACTTCTCATATATTGTTTCTTCCATTTTGGTAATGGACATGTTTGGATTCTTCCTAAATTTTTCAATAAATTCATCATCAATCCACTCTGATGTAACTTGCCTGATGTGGACATTGTGCTCTTTGTGAACTGTTTAATTGCTACACTGCCCTTTTTCACAATTGTATTTGTATACAAAGTCCAAGGGAAAACATCAACACATTTCAATCTCAAATGTGTTTTGCTAGTTTTCAGAAACTTTTATGTCTCTCCCTTGAAGAATTGCTACATTTCTAACTGCTTTTTTCAACTCCTCTATGCTTATGAATCTCATCCCTAACATAAAACTCAAGAGTACTATGATCACATTTAGGGTCATAACTGTCTTGAAACTACCACCTAAGTACTTAACAGAAGTTCCACATTTGATGAATTGGCCTTCATAGTTTACAAAAATTGAAAAGTTGCCCATGCAATGCAAAATTATCTATAAATAAGATAATAATAACAAATGCGATGCACAAGACCCTAAATTTCCCAAAAAAAACCCTAATTGTTCAGAGAAATCCTAATTTTTCTAAAAAAAACCGTAATGGTTAAGAGCCCTAGTTGTTCAGAAAAGCCTTAATTGTTCAGAAAAGCTCTAGTTTCCACAAAAAAAAAACCTAATTGTTTAAAAAAAAACCCAGTTTCCCCAAAAAACCCTAATTGTTCATAAAAGCCCTAATTTCTCCAAAACGAACCCTAATTTCACCAAAAAAAACTAAATCCAAGAATAAATCTAATATCTAAACAAACCCTAAATATAATACCACACTCTCGAAATCAGTACATCCACATTCTCGAAATAAAAAAAATGCAGAAACCACATGACAAAGAGTAGACAAGAAATTAAAAAACACACAACATTCCAAATTTGTCTCAGTACCTCGGGTACAAAATACAAACAATAAGAAATAAAGAATAGAAGAATTTTGGAGCACTTGTCTTTCATTTTTCGACATATAAGGAATCTCTAACGCATAAGCACAAACTCTCATGCAATTGGGACCACTTCGTTGCGGATTCTTGATATAGAGAGAGAAAATTTTAGATGTAGGGTTTGATTTTTGTCATCGACATCAATTTTTTTCTTCGAACTAAATTAGGGTTAATTTGATTTGGGGAATTTTTGAAATTGGGAATGGATGGGGTTCTTATACTGGTTTTGTGAAATTCCACGTATTTTAATTAGTCTTACTCAGAAAACTAAAAGTTCCACGTAGATATAACTAGCCGGACGCGCTGACATATTTTGACCGTCCGACGAGTTTTAAGTTCTTTTTTGCAAAAGTAAGACAAAGTAGAGATTGTATTGCAAGTATCGAAATGTTTGGATTAAATTGCTAAAAGTGAAAAGATAAATGAGAGAGTAACAAGAAAGTTGAAATATAAATTAGCTATTTAAGTTCAATTAACCCATGAATTAACTTTATTTATAAAGAAACACACAAATTAATAAAAAAAAGAAAATGCTACATGTACATAATAAATGTACATATGTACATAACACTCACATAGAGTGGGGTCTACTTGAATTTTTAATTTTGATGGAACCCACTCAATGTAGTGTTATGTACACTTTTATGTACACTATTTGTACTATAGCATTACTCTTAATAAAAATAACATTTTTCATAGTAACCAATCATTTATCCTCGATAAATTCTGCAAAACCAGTCTTTATCACAGATGCACTCACGTCGACAATGGCTGAAGCCTCCCTAGAGCTCCGCCCGTTGGGCAACACTAGCCTTAAGGTCAGCTGCGTGGGCTTTGGCGCCTCCCCTCTCGGCAACGTTTTCGGGCTCGTCCACGAATCCGACGCCATCGCCGCCGTCCGCCGGGCTTTTACCCTCGGAGTCAACTTTTTCGACACCTCCCCGTAATTAATTTCCCCCATTAATCTGTTTGTTCTGTTAAGAATCTTATGGACTTTTTTTTCTATTTCCGATGATTATGTTGATTCTTTTGTTGGCGGATTTTGAGGCGATTTGTAATTGGCAGTGCAAATCGTGTTTGTAAGAGTGGCCGATCTAATTCAATTGCACAAATTCTTGTATGAGCGTGTAATCATTAGTAGGATCGACTTTTTAGCATACTTTTGTCCTATGAAATGTCATACTTTTGTTTATGTTTATGTTTTTTTTTTCAAGTATGATAAAAGTAGCTTGTGGATGCTTTAGGTACTATGGGGGAACATTATCCGAAACAATGTTGGGGAAAGCATTGAAGGCTCTGGGAGTGCCTCGAACCGAGTACATTGTATCGACAAAATGCGGGCGGTATGTAGAGGGTTTTGATTTTAGTGCCGCAAGAGTGACGAGGAGCATTGATGAGAGCCTAGAAAGATTGCAGCTCGATTATGTTGATATCTTGCAGTGCCACGATATCGAGTTTGGCTCACTTGACCAGGTCACCCCTTTCTATTTTTACTGAGAAAATGGTGTCTTGAGCTTATATTACCATAACATGTCTAATTTGTGTCTGTTCAGCTCTTGGAGGTTGCTGAATGAGTGAATGTAGTGTTTTTGACACAGTTTGTCTGATTGTAACTGTTTCAATTGATGGAATTATGGAACTTTAGTACATGGTTGTTCTTTTGTTCGTGCTTGGTAATTTCACTAGATGTCATTTTTGTTCCTTCTCCATAGTAGAGTACAAACAAAGAATCTCCTGCAGTCTTTTCTACCAATTCATAGCTTACATTCATGTTGCTACCAAAGCGAATCTTTTTTTGTGTGTGTTATTCCTTCTTTGTCGTCACATCATGGATGATGAACAAAGTTCAATTCAGATCCTTATGGCCCTATGTTTGTTTCAGTTTATGATTCCCCACTTGAACCTTTTTTTTAGCGTGTATGTGTCTATTTTTGTATTTCGTGACTACTTGTTCTGTAGACTGAAAACATGGGGTTGGTTTTTCTGTGCACAGATTGTGACCGAGACACTCCCAGCACTTGTTAAACTGAAGGAATCGGGAAAGGTGAAGTTCATCGGTATAACAGGGCTTCCACTGGAAATTTTCAGTTACGTTCTTGATCGTGTGACACCTGGGACAGTCGATGTAATTCTCTCGTATTGCCATTACAGTGTAAATGATTCCACTTTGGAGGATTTACTGCCTTACTTGCAGAGTAAAGGTGTCGGTATAATTAGTGCTTCTCCGTTAGCAATGGGTCTTCTTACGGAAAGTGGGCCTCCCGAGTGGCACCCTGCTTCCCCCGAACTGAAGGTGGGTGCTTTTTTAGTGGGATTTTCTGAAATATATGTTTCTTTCATATTTAAAAAAAAAAATAGAAAAAAAGTGGTATTTTTCGATAGTTATCAATGAGCATGTGGTGTGGTACTACTCTGTTGTAATGATATTTGAACGTTCTTGAGCAACTTTTTAGCAAACGATTCACATTCTTAGTCATCAATATTCATGGATAATATTCGGATTAATATTATTAGCAATTACATACCCAATTGCCTTCTGAACTTACTAACACCCTTGGCAATTGTTTTTCTTTTACAATTGCATCCTTAAGAGGGGATATTTGTTTTGCGGTGATTGTGATATTGAAAGATAAATGTTCCATTTTTTTAATTATCACTATTAGATACTCGACTATTCGTGCAAGTCGATGTTTCTTACATACGTTCTGTCCTTAAACTTCTTATCGTTTTTCCTCTTCAGGCCGCATGTCGAGCTGCTGCTGCTCATTGTAAAGAGAAAGCAAAGAATATTTCAAAGTTAGCCATGCAATACAGCTTATCTAATAAGGATATCTCAACAATCTTGGTCGGGATGAACTCGGTCAATCAGGTTTGTGTTCCTCTATCTCAGCCACACAATCTCCAAACATCGTCACTTTCTAATGCTAATTATAATCAGGTTGATGAAAATATTGAAGCTGCACTTGAACTTGCGACTGCTGGAAGGGATGAACAGACACTGTCAGAGATCGAAGGCATTCTAAAGCCCGTAAAAAATCAGACATGGCCTAGTGGCATTCAGCGAGGTTGATAAGCTAAGTTTTTTCAGGAGGACCCGTTGTTTATGTACCAAGCACAATATAAAATTTGTATTTTTCCCAAGTTTTTCATATGGACTTGGACATCTTGTTATGGTGATTTTAATTTATAATTGCATTTGTCTATTTAATTTGATATTTAACTTATGAAAAATTGATAATAATTAAGTATTTTAACCAATCCTAACTGGAAAATAATAAATATTTATTACTTAAGTAAATTTATTTATTAAATCAAATAAAGCGAGTCTCAAATGTGATGTTTATCACTTAATAAACTAAAATAAAACTGTAATTTTAAAAAAGTATTTATAAATTTGAAATAAAACTGTCTATTTTTTTTTTAAATATAACTTTTTTTACGCTTGTATAAGGCACTATTATTTGTCAAAAGAGTTTCCACTCACCAGTACTGACCCGTGCGATGCATGAGATGGTATTTTTTTTGGGTTTTTTATAATATCAACATTAAATTTAACGCACTTTGTGGATACGTAACAAATATAAAATGAAAAAAAAAACAAATTTAAAATTTCATAAATTCGTAAATACTTCTTTGTACACAACGTTTTGGATCTTATTTGGTGGCAAGTCATCGTCATTACAGACTAATATCTTCAACCCACTTCGATTGGTGACACGGGAGGCGGCAACATATAATTGCCCATGACTGAACACCGGCTTCTTAAGCAATAAACCAACATGCGATAGCGATTGTCCTTGACTCTTGTTGATAGTCATGGCATACGATACCATAACAGGAAACTGTCGCCTCTGGAATTTGAAAGAAATTCTGACATCGGAACGAGTTATAGTCATTCTAGGAATCAACACCTTCTCGCCTTCATGATCCCCAATGAGTATCCTACACTCAATAACATGAGCGGATAGTTTTGTCACAACTAACCGTGTCCCGTTACATAAACCCATAGAATGATCCATATTCCGCAACAACATGACGTGGGTTCCAATCTTCAGATGCACCTGGTGATTTGGAATTCCCAAACATTTGATACTATTCAAGAACTCGGGCGTATGGATATCAGAGCTCAAGTACGTGTTACCGTCTGATAAATTCAACGATGTCATGTATTCATTGGCGGACTCAACAACATCAAGCGTCAGTGCTAATATTGCCCTGTCCTACAAATAACTGGGATCATCGGTTGTCTGCTTAAATCAACTACATAGTTTGAAATCTATAATAACTGAAGAGAGATAACTGAAAGAGAATTGTTATGACACTTCACTTCGTGTAATTTATTTTATATAATTATGTAAATTTATAGTAATTTATTTTTCAGATCGCTGCATCATTAGATTTAAATGTAAACTAATCGGCTAAAAAACTGTAAAATAAGATCGTCTACTATCCCGTGAACAAATAGACCATCACAAAAACTCTACACGTGCCATACTTTATTTAAAGTCAAGTCATATTTAAATATTTAAATTAAAAGAATGAGATATTTTATAAAGAGATACACGATTTTGGTATTTAATTAAATATCCGAAACAAATTTTTTTGTTATTGATTTATAATAGGGTACACAATTTATTTTTAAATTTCTATAAACTAAATTATAATTATGTAAAATTATTTTTAAATTATTTCAGTTTAAGTATTTGTTTAAACAGTTATATATATATATATATATATATATATATATATATATGTCGATATACACTTTAAAACGAAAATTGATGTTGCACTCAGTTTTACATTTAATAATATAATATGAATTATTGGTAAAACATAATATTGTCGGTCCTAATAAACACTCTCAGTCCTAATAAAAAATAAATAAATACTTAACAAAATATAAACTTTTGTTTATGATAGGAATGAGATTTTGAGTTACTAATGGACTCAGTTTTAGGAACACGATCAACTACAGAGTTTGAACTCTATAATAATGGAAGAGAGATTACTGAAAGAGAATTGTTATGACACTTTACTTCGTGTAATTTATTTTATATAATTATGTAAATTTATAATAATTTATTTTTTAGATCGCTGCATCATTAGATTTAAATGTAAATTAATCGGCTAAAAAACTGTAAAATAAGATCGTCTACTCTCCCGTGAACAAATAAACTATCACAAAAACTCTACACGTGTCATACTTTATTTAAAGTCAAGTCGTATTTAAATATTTAAAATTAAAAGAATGAGATATTTTATAAAGGGATACACGATTTGGTATTTAATTAATTATCCGAAACAAATCTGTTTGTTATTAATTTATAAGGGGATACACGATTTATTTTTAAATTTTTATAACCTAAATTATAATTACGTAATATTATTTTTAAATTATTTCAGTTTAAGTATTTGTTTAAAAAGTTTTTTTAATATATATATATATATATATATATATATATATATATACACTTTAAAACGAAAATTGTTATTGCACCGAAAATTGATATTGATCATATCAGCGAATCCAAAAATTGTTATTGCAAATTATTAAAAATTGCCAGCAATGAAAATAAATCATGTAGAACAAATAAAATAAAAAAATAAAAGAACCGTATGTACGTACAAAATTGAAGGAGTCTAGATATAAAAATTTTATTAACGATAAAATATAGTACTCATCCAATTCGCAATAAATATGACACGGAATAAATTTCTTACCAAATCATCAAATTATATGTAACAGAAACCTAAGAAATCCATACGACATCCATCTCTCGATCATTGCTAGTATTGAGGAAAATTTCTATTGTATTTGATAAAATCTGTCCTTCCATGAAAACAATCTTCCAACGATTATTATATCATTCGTCCCGCTATTATATTCAACATCGTAGTTGCGAATAAAATACACCTCGCCTTGTTTAAGGCGGTCTCGAAATACGATCATATGCTGCGAAAGTACCATACCTTTCATGTATGAACCATACATATTTGAAATAATAAATAATACAAAAAAAAAATAAAAATGAAAAGTTACTTTCGATATTCATGTAATAATGTTAATGATAAAACATTTGAAAATAATTATCCCTTCATCATGAATCAGGATATGAAAAGTATCTGGATGCTTCGGATCGTCATGAGTTTCCAGCAGTAGGACTACTTTCAACTTAAAAAACGGTTTGTTGGATCGACTCACGGCGTCTAGTGTACCCCGGAATGTTGCCATAAAATAATTTTTTTATTTTGTAATTGTTGTTTTCCTACGCTTGTTGAGGAGATGAAGAAAAAATTATCTCAGTGCGTATCTTTTATATAGAGAGTTTTTTTACATGTTAAACGTGTGTAGCGATATTAGATAAGGCACAAGTTTTCGGATTTTATGGAAGGTTGTTACGATAATAAAGAAATAAAATTAAGGAATTAAAAATTGTTAAGATAATAATAAGTTGTTAAGATAATAAAGGAATCAAATTAATTTCGAATTCAATGGAAAGTTGTTAAGATAATAAAGGGATCAAATTAAGGATTTATATAAACTTCTTATCCAATCTTTTTTTAATGGATTTTTTATTTAAATATTTTGTTTAATTTGTTTAACGTATTTTTAAATTACTTTCCACAAATGGAAAGTGAAAACATTTTTTTAAAACTTTCCTCAAATGGTTTTTTACTTTCCTCTTTCAATAATTATAGATTTATGAAAACCAGAACCATTATGAGTGGGGTGCCTACTGTGCAATTTTAAACAGCTCTGTGCACCGCATGACTGGCACCCCCAACAAACCATTATGTCACCTGAGTATAGCAACACAAGCAAGCAGGTAGCACACCTCATATGTTTTCCCTTCGACGTTACAAAGACATATTTATTTTATTATTATTTTTAATTAAAATCTTATACAACTCACTAATTAATGCATATTTAATCTCTCTCTCTCTATATGTATGTATATATATATATATATATATAAAATAGCTAACAAAAAAAGTTAATAAAACTTTGAGTTTTTTTTTTTTTTTTTT